GATTTTTTCCACTTGGAGCCCCATAATCCAAACTACTGATCTATTAAATCCCTTAGGCTGGGTGTTGGATCACTTAGGTCATTCAACTGTGTCCTCAGTAAATGTCCTTAATAAAGATGATAAAGTAGACTCATCAGGTATAAATACATAACATTCTGCTTGGATAATGGCACAGGTGTCTCCTTGGGATGCCCTAATAATATGCAAATCCATCCCATTTTGGAGGACAGCTTATCTCTTAGGGACACATCGGTGTTCAATAAGGACAGGCCTTCTTGGCTCTCACTTAAGGCTTGTTGAATAAATTTCATAAGAGCTTTTATATATGCTATAACATCCTCCAGGCCAATGTGTGGGGCAAAGAGGCCAAATGATCATACATACCAGTGAAAGATGGATTGTGCTCATCTAGCTTAAAAGAGAGGGACTTGGGCAACTGTGGTTACACTGGGGTTGATTCTCCCCTATGCCCAGGGAAAACCCAGGGTACAGCAGCCGAACCACCTGGGTGGAGGCCACGGGCAAAGATCTGTGCCACATAACCATGGGTCCCGTTTGGGGCTACCTAGTATATACCTGGGCAGTACAATGAGTCAGCCCCAAACCAGTTGCCATACCTTAATGTGGCAGAATGACTGCCTAGGTTCAGCGATATCCATCCCAGATTCTTGGTACAGTTGTGCTGGTTTTGTTTAGCGTGATTTTTTAACTTTTCAATACCCAACATAAGGGTGACCTGGAGCTCAAATGTCCATAACCTGGGGTAAGCCACATAAACTCATCCCACATCTGGGCATAGCCACCAATACTCCTGATGGTGATATTTTAGGACCCTTGTGTTCAGTGAGTTGATGGGCTGTGTCTGCAGTTTAAGTGACAGGAAGGGTATCCATGCCGAGTGTTACCGATAGTGTGTGTACCCCAGGCCATGTTTCTGGATCAGTATTGGTGATGTCATGTGATTTAGGAGTACTAGTGCTAGGTTGTTCCTTCTTATTTATTTATTTGTTTGTTTGTTTGTTTGTTTGTTTTTTGGTATCATTAATATACACTTACATGAACAACATTGTGGTTACTAGATTCCCCCCATTATCAAGTCCCCACCACATACCCCATTACAGTCACTGTCCATCAGCATAGGAAGATGCTATAGAGTCACTGCTCATCTTCTCTGTGCTATACTGCCTTCCCTGAGCCCCGCCACCCCACTTTATGTGTGCTGATTGTAATGCCCTTTATTCCCCTTTCTCCCTCCCTTCCCACCCATCCTCCCCAGTCCCTTTCCCTTTGGTAACTGTTAGTCCATTCTTGGGTTCTGTGAGTCTGCTGCTGTTTTGTTCCTTCAGGTTTTTCTTTGTTCTTATACTCCAAAGATGAGTGAAATCATTTGATACTTGTCTTTCTCTGCCTGGCTTATTTCACTGAGCATAATACCCTCTAACTCCATCCATGTTGTTGCAAATGGTAGGATTTGTTACCTGCCACTTGAGTATCAGACCCTTAGGTACCATCCCAGGTTGCTGTGGGACTTGGTGTAAGTCCCTTTTATTTTTTTATTTTATATATACACTGTTATGAAGGTTTCACATGAAAAACAGTGTGGTTACTCCATTCACCCATATTATCAAGCCCTACAAAGAGATAAAAAAAGATCTCTTTTTGAATCTTAGAACTTGTTTTCGTTGGGTAAATTCCTAGGAGTGGGATTCCTGGGTCAAATGGTATTTCAATTTTTAGTTTTTTGAGGAACCTCCACCTACTGCTTTCCACAATGGCCGAACCAGCTTACATTCCCACCATCAGTGTAGGAGTTCCCCTTTCTCCACATCCTTGCCAGCATTTCTTGTTCTTAGTCTTTTCTATAGTGGCCATCCTAAATGGTGTGAGGTGATACCTCATTGTGGTTTTAATTTACATTTCCCTGAAAATTAGTGATGTGGAGCATCTTTTCATGTGCCTGTTGGCCATATCTGAATTTCTTCTTTGGAGAAGTGTCTGTTCAGATCCTCTGCCCATTTTTTAATTGGGTTATTTGCTTTTTGGTTGATGAGGCGTGTGAGTTCTTCATATATTTTGGATGTTAACCCTTGTCAGATAGGTCATTTACAAATATATTCTCCCATACTGTAGGATGACTTTTTGTTCTGCTGATGGTATCCTTTGCTGTACAGAATCTTTTTAGCTTGATGTAGTCCCATTTGTTCATTTTTGCTTTTGTTTCCCTTGGTGTTAAGTCCCTTTCAGAGCATCCAGTGCACTCCTGCTGGGCTCTGATGACTTCTTCAAAGGTTAAAGTCCAGGCCCTGCTGAAGGGCTACAGCCCACATTGTCTTTTGCCCCGGATGCAATAAACATTTTTGTAACCATTGGGTCACATCAGAGTCAAGCTTTCCTTCTAGCCAACATACCTGGGCCAATTAGATCTGCTTCGTCAACTCATGGGGATGCCAGCAGCAAATGACGTCTGTTCTTCTTTGGAATTTTGACCAGAATTCGATAAGTTGGTGAGTCCATTCAAGCTACTTCCAGGGACCCCAGCCATAACTGTCTTTGGTCACATGGACATCCATCTCACAGGGTCTTGACAGGTCTATCACACTCAAGGCCTAGAAGGCTTTGGCCCATTTTGCAGTGGTGAAAGAAAATGCACATGTCTCATCCTAGTCCCACCTGATGCCCTTTCATACCACGTGGTATAAGGGCTTCATCATTTGTGCCAAGTACAGGATAAACAGTCTCCAGTAGCCTAAAAGACCCAAAAATTCTTGCAGTAGTGTGACAGTTGTGGGGGTATGAAAAGCCTGAACTTTATCTATAATCACTGCTTCTGGGATAACTTAAGTCTTACCTGACCAGACAACACCCAAGAATTTGACTGACAAACCAGGTCCCTGAAACTTGGGTGCTGTTCACAGCCCATCCTTTCTCCTTTACGTGTTGCAGCAGTCTAGGTGCTGCACAATGTTTGTTGCATGCAGGACTTCTGGTAAAAAAAATAAACAATAAGCATGATATCATCAATATAATGGTACACCTGCACCACTGGCAGGTTCTCCCGTGCTGCAAATCCTGGGCTCCAAATCCATGACAGACAGTGGGACTGTGGAGGTGCTCTCATGGAAGGACAATGACAGCCCACTGCCATCCTTCCCATGTGAAGGAAAACTGTTCCTGACTGTCCTGTGCTGTGTTTATGAAGAAGAAAGCATTAGCAAGAGGATACTCTCCACCTCTATGTCCCTAAGGTACAGGAGCCAGGCTGATATGGATTCTGAGGGTTTCTGCTGAGACTGGAAGCCCAAATCCACCAGCTCTGCCTGTGTCTAGGGGAACATAGAGTGCACTGTGCCCTGGAGAGCGGGCTGTACCTCTCCTGGAGGAACCTGCAGTTGCTATCTCTTTATTTACTTGATTTACAGCTGGGCAGGCTTTCAACAGAGGAGCGTTGGGGCCTCCAGCACCACCTCTACCTCCTCATTCCCCTTCAGTGTACCCTCCTCCACTTCGGGAGCTGACGGCAGCTGTCTTGCTCCACAGAGCATGTCCTCTGCTACATCCTTTACCTTCTCCACAGTGTCTCTCAGGAACGCTATCTCAGTGTGGGGAAATGGAAGCTCCTGTGGCCAAGATCCTCACCTGACCCTAAACTACTTGATGATCCAATTGGCCTACTGCTAGGCTAATGCTTCCACATCCATAGGCAATAAGCTAATATTGACTGAGTCACGATCTAAAGAGCTCTGCCCAGTGCTCTGGGGGTTGGCAGAGATGGAGGAGGATTATAGACCTTCAGGTGGTTGGATGAAGATACGATTCTAGTGCTCAACCTATTGCCAGGAGAGTAAAGCTGGGCGTAACCCTTTTACCCCAAAAACGTTCCATTGTCATTTCTAGGTCTCATTGAATCCACAGTGAGCTTGTGTGGGACTGAAACACTCAGTCAAGACAACTGGCTTAGCCAGCAGGATTCACTGTAGACCAAAGAATGGAAAAGGCTACCCTCATGGGAGGGTTACTTCAGCGGGATACCCCTATGAATGGGGAGACATTTGAGTGTCCCCAGTGGGCATGTGGTCTGAGGTGGCTGGCCTCCTAGGGGACTGGACCCTGTCCCAGGACTTGAGGAAGGTGGAGCCCACAGCATAATAAGGAGGTCCTTTGAGAAACAGAATGGCCATTGGGCCACAGGGACCATGGTTTGGCTGTTTCTCACAGTATTAAAAATATCTACAGATGAGAGGAATGTGCTTCTGCAAGAGACATGAGAAATGGCAGCACAAGAACATGAACTGTGAAGGACTGTGGATTTACTGAAGAATAAAATGGCATTCATATGAGAGGAGGCAGCTCGAGAATGCAAGCTGTAAGGTGCTGTGGAGGACATAAAAGATTTGTTAAAAAATCTTCCCAGGGAGGTGCCCGCCTTCCATCCCCTGTCCTTGGATCCCGGGCAGCCTGGTGTATAACTTTTCTCCCAGAAAGAATGCCCTCCCTTCCAGAAAGGATCTGCCTCCCGTCCTGGGGCTGCAGGTCCCTCTGCGCTGTCAGAGGTGGAGGGCAGCAGCAGGAGTGTAGCGGGAGAAGTGCAGCTGCCTGCAAGCTGGCTGTGCTCACTCTTGGATTCACTTTCTTCTTGGGGTTTTTGCTGTTGGAGGAACAGGGTGAGGGCAGGTAGAAATGTAAAAGGAGCAGCTGTCTGGGCAGAGCACAGTCCTTTAACTCAACATCTCTTCTGCTCAAAACCCTGAAACCATATCCTGCCCCCACTTGCCTACAATTCCCAGAGTGAAGCAGACCCCTGAGAGCTGTACTTCCTGCAAGAGGACAAGTGGCCAAGAGTAGGGCCTGAAGGGCAGCAGGGACACAAGGCCGGGGACGACACATGGAGCAGAGGGGCACTGTGCACCGTTCCCAGGTGTGCTGGCTCCTGCCATGCTCTGGGCTCTCAGCCCTGCCCTGGGCTCCCACACTCCCTGTGTGTCACAGACATGGGAGTAGAGGTTGTTGCCAAACTTCCCCATGAGGCTCAGGCCAGCTATGTCCCCTCTAGGGTTTCAGGCTTAGCAGTCACAGCCCCATGAGTTGAAAACCAGAGCCCAGGGTGTTCCAGAGGAGCTGCATGATAGCTATTCAGCTGGGTCTAGAGCAGAGGTGGCATCCTCTCTGGTCCTGGATTGGGCACTGAGATCAGATCCTGACCCTCTGACTGCCAGGTTTTGGGGGAAGGCACATACCCTATTGAAACTCCACATTCTCTTTCCGCAAGAATGGGCCTGGCTTCTCTGGTTTCCATTCTGCCATAGGCCCCCAGAAAGAGGGGGGGGCAATAGAGAATTGACTCCAGGTGGCAGAAAGTCCCCAGGCCCCCAGGTGTGCATGTGCAGCTCAGACATGACCCAGGGCTGACTCACCAGGATGTCTTGGCTCCTCTCTCAATTACGTAAGGGTTGCCTGGTCCCTGCCTGTGCCCATTAGGGGGCACCTTGGTATTTCAGAGCAGAAACCCGTGGCTGGGTTTGCCCCTATAGAGGGAACTAGGCTGGGTGCCTTTAATGGATGGACTTCGTGGGTCATGGGAAGTGGGGAGGGGCCCCTGAGTGCTCTAGGCCCAGCCCAGGCTCCTGAGCGTGGGCCCTCAGTGAGCAAAAGGAGAGGATTTGGCCAGGGGTTTGCCCAGATGTTGGTTCAGCTACAGCTGCCTCCTCCCTAGAGTTCATGGGGATTCTGTTTTGGGGGCGGCCTGCCATAGTTGTGATCTGAGGAAAATACCTCAGCGCTTCCTCACACAGACATATTGATGATACTCTTGCAGTTAACAAGAAATTGAAGGTTATCGGAAAAGGCTTTCAAAATGTAGACAACACAGAGGAAGTTATTTGTCAATTCAGATTTGGTAACAAGAAATCCCCAGGTAAGTAGGCCCTCCTTTCCTCCAGTGACAACCGTCCCACATCAGGCTGCCTCCCCACAGTGAGCCCAGCCTGGACACCTGCTGGTGACACCCAGGAATTAATCCATCCCCAGCACCACCACGCACCTGGGAGTAGCCTTTCCTGCAGCCCACGCTGGGTTTGAGGCAGGGTGTGCCCTCAGAGCTGTGTCCCCCTCTGTGTGCCCCTGCCTGCACCCATTAGGGGGCACCTTGGCATTTCAAATCAGAAATCCAT